CCACTGCACTCCAGTCTGGGCGACAGAGTGAGACTCTAACTCAAAAAAAAAAAAGGACAGAAAAGCTCCCACATTGGGAGTGGACCCCAAGGGGTTGCTCATTTATTATTACTTTAAAATGAATTAATCAACATATATTTTAAAAATTTCTCAGTTTAAATTTCTAATATAGTATATACCGAAATAAACAAAGCTTTTTGGAGTCCTCAATTTTTTTCCTTCTTTTTTTTTTAGTTGGAGTCTCACTTCGTTGCCCAGGCTGGGTTGCAGTAGCATGCTCACGGTCACTCCAGCGTTGACCTGCTGGGCTCAGGAGATCCTTCTGCCTCAGCCTTTCAAGTAGCCAGAACTACAGGCATGTGCTACCACGCCCGGCTAATTTTTTTTGATTTATGTGGAGATGAGGTCTCACCAAGTTGCCCAGGTTGTTCTCAGACCTGTGGACTCAGGCAATCCTCTTACCTTGGCCTCCCAAAGTGTTGGGATTTCAGGCTTGAGCCACCGTACCTGGCCATTCTCAATTTTTAAGAGGCTAAAAGCGTCTTAAGACCAACAACTTGAGAACTGCTGGTCTAAAGGATGCTTATGACTCCTTTTGGTACCCAGACTTCATAAACACTCTAACAATGACAGTGTAATTATCTAAAAACCACTAAAAGTGTAATATTTGAAGAACTGCAGAAAGTACAAAATATAAATATATAACAAACATTCAGTTTCTAGATTGCTCAATGTTAAATTAAAGCTATGTAAGTAAAATGATTTTAGGAGATTACAGTTTATTGTCAGCTTAGTTAATAAAAAGAGACCTCGATTTAAAAGTCATCAAAATTTAAAAATAATTGCCATACTGTTATTAATAATCAGTCTACTGAAGAGTAAGTAGTACGAAATTACCACTTGTTGAGGTGTAGCTATCAAGCACTATTCACATTATCTGAAAAGGCTTTTATAAACTTATGCCTGAAGTAGAAGTACATTCTGCCTTTTAACCTCTCTTCAGGTCGTGTCTTGATTATACTGTCAACTTATGCCGTGAATAAAAACTACATATTCTCTATTTATCCTATATTTCAACCATATCTTTGCCTTTTTCTTTTCTCTCTCTTTTTTTTTTTTGAGTCGGAGTCTCACTCTGTTGCCCAGGCTGGAGTGCGGTGGCATGCTCACAGCTAGTCTTGACCTGCTGGGCTCAGGCCGTCCTTCTACCTTAGCCTTCCAAGTAGCTGGAACTACCACCATAGCATGCACCACCATACCTGGCTAATTTTTTGATTTATTGTAGATATGAGGTCTCACCAAGTTGCTAGGCTGATCTCAAACACCTGGGCTCAAGCAATCCTCTAGCCTCTACCTCCCAGAGTGCTGGGATTACAGGCCTGAGCCGCTGGGCCCAGCATCTTTTTTCTTTATCTATAGAGATGGAATGCTTAGGCTATCTCATTTTGTCTCATTAGCTATGACAGGTACTTACTATTTCAAAAACAGCATTTTTCTCTCCTAAATATAAGTGATTTATTTTTTTTCGAGCTGGAGTCTTACTCTATCGCCCAGACTGGAGTGCAGTGGCCGCTCTGTTGGGCTCCGGCGATCTTTCCGCCTCAGCCTTCCAAGTAGCTGGAACTACAGGCATGTGCTACCACGCCTGGTTAATTTTTGATTTATTGTAGAGATGAGGTCTCACCAAGTTGCCCAGGTGGGTCTCGAACCCACGGGCTCAGGCAGTCCACTCACCTCAGCCTCCTAAAGCGCAGGATTACAGGCTGAACCATGGAGCCTGGCTATAAGTGCGTTTTTATAAAAAAAAATTTTCTATGTGGAAATTCTATTAAACATGGAAGACTTTTTCTAATTTGTACCTTCCTTTTTACCAAACCAATTTGTAGAATCATAACTGCCCTGCAAATAACTTTCCCTTTTTTGTTTTCTTCCCAATGGCTATTTCCCTACCTTTATACAAAGTTAGACATAGGAAACTTAGGACAGAGATAATGTGTGTATGCCAGAATACACATTATACAGAAAAAGAATCATTGTACATTTTTTCAATGACTATGAGTTAGAAGTATTAGCAAACCCACAGACTAGTGTCCGTAGAGTGTCTTCAACTAGAGCAAGTGACCAAAATGCAAATAGAGATGGCTAAGCAAGAATTGATAAACTGTTTGTGGCTGTTCATGCTATTACCAAGATAGGAATTAAAAAAAAAAACTAACTGCTTAGTTGAGCTAAAAGAGTAGAAGTCCTCTCTGTAGTTCTGAATTATTGTAATATTCATTCTCTTTAGCTTCAGTCACTTGCCTTAGGTGAAGATAGAATTTCTGTGGGTTTCTGGTTGGTTCAGCTGCTGTTGCTTTGAGCATGCCTACTTTCAGGTTCATTTCACAGGACAACTTATCTCTTGGGTATAGGCAGATAATCCTATGGAGGTGAGCCATATCAAAAAAGTTGTTATAGTTTCAACTATTAAGTAATACATTTTATTTCACTTAAACCCTCTATTTTCATCATTTCCTTGTTGTCAAAATTTTATAAGACTAAAATTTCATAAGATTAGTAATTGTAACTGAAAAACTCAATTACGGTACCTCTTCTATTTTCTTAGGAGAAGTTTCATTTTTATTACTTTTGAATTCTTCATTTATCCTTATTCTGGCTGCTAGAGAGAGAAAAACACATAGTTAATTGATTTTCTAATGTAAAATTCCTGTTCCAAATAATTTACATGTTATTCACTACAAATGACTACTTCTCTAATATACAAAATAATTTTGCCTTCGTGAAAACAAAACATAATAAATTTATTAGATAAGTTTCTTGGAGAGCTTTCAACAGGCTGAAAAATGTGTAAGTAAACCACTACAAAACATCAGTACTTTAATATATTTTTTCCCCTGATTTTTTTTCCCCAATTTCATTTGTGTACCTATAGCTAATGAATCCTTTTTCTTTTTTTGAGTTGGAGTCTCACTCTGTCGCCCAGACTGAAGTGCAATGGCACACTCCTGGCCACCGCAGCCTCGACCTGCTGGGCTCCGGCAATCCTTCTGCCTCAGCCTTCCAAGTAGCTGGAACTACAGGCGTGCGCTACCATGCCCGGCTAATTTTTTTGATTTATTGTAGCGATGAGGTTTTGCCAAGTTGCCCAGGCAGGTCTCGAACCTGCTGGCTCGGGCAATCCACTCACCTCAGCCTCTCAAAGCGCGGGATTACGGACTGAGCCACGGAGCCCGGCTATGAATTCTTTTTTTTTTTTTTTTTATTTGGAGTCTCACTCTGTCGCCCAGACTGGAGTGCAGTGGCCGCTCCCGGCCACCGCAGCCTCGACCTGATGGGCTCCGGCGATCCTTCCGCCTCAGCCTTCCAAGTAGCCGGAATTACAGGCATGCGCTACCACACCCGACTGATTTTTTGATTTATTGTAGAGATGAGGTCTCGCAGCCCAGGTGGGTCTCGAACCCGCGGGCTCAGGCAATCCACTCACCTCAGCCTCCCCAAGGCGCAGGATTATAGGCTGAGCCACCGAGCCCGGCTATGAATTCTTATAAATCTAATTTAATGCTTTATTTCTATAGATCTAAGAATTCAGGTTAAAATGCTTTTTTAAGATGGCAAAGCTCAATATTTAACAAGTGTGTTACACAATATACATATGTACAATTAAAATAAAGATACAGCAGCAAAGAGGATATATATATATATACATATATATACAAATATATATGTAATTTTCAAGTGTCTTCATTGACATGTAAAGTGAGTGATAAATGAAACTTTTGTTCACATACACCACTGAGATGACTCTGATATCATTACAACAGCATAATTTAGTCTAATCTAACCGGTCTTATTGTGTTGTTATGAATACTTTATGGAACAATCCATATAAAGTGCTTAGCAAATGAGTGATAAATGTTAGCTGTTCCTATAATTATTTCACTTAAAAAATGTAATGCAACAAAAAGACGTTAATAGAGAATAGCCATAAAAATTTCTTTCTATGCTGGATGCATTTCAATATGTAAGACAGGTAAAGGTTTAGACTTTTTAATCAAACTGTGTAGGCTAAATCTCAGCTCCACCTGTTACTAAGTATGATGTGAGGCAAATATTTTCACATTTTGCCAATATTCTCATTTGCAAAAATAGTAACTATGATAGTAACTATATTACAGAGATGTTATAAGAATTAAATCAGGAATTTGTATATAAAGTACAATGTACCTTAATCTTTAAGAAATTATTTTTGGTGAATTTCAAAACTTGAATTCTTGGGAATACTGGCAATGCTTTACCTAAGTGCCCTCTTGAGGAAGTTTAGAAATGTACAAGAGTAGAATTGAAAATGACTCTCAAGGAACCTAAGCTTTAGAGCCTGTGGCTTTCAGATAAGATAGAAACTATTTAAAACCACGAAATGCTGAATTTGGGATCATTTGGGATGGATTCCCTTTCATATTTACTGTGACTTTTAGGCTGACACAAGACATTAATAACATGTTATTATTTGGTCACAGAGAGTGTGACTATTTGATTATATAACAGAAAGTGTAATGGTTTAAACATAAGACAAGTAATGGAAAACACTGAAATTCTGATCCCTCTCTCCTTTTTTGCTGATTCTTTATGAAAAATTGATCTTTTAAAATTTTTCTTTAAGTAGGTATTCCTCAAAAAGTGTAATGTAAATTAATTTTTATGAAAGATATTAGGGGGAAGATAGTGAGGGTCATTCCCTAAGATGGGTCTTGATCACACAGGATTTTTCCAAATAGATTAGCATTCATGTAAAGAATAGACTTTCTCCAAAGAGGTAAAAAATATACTTACCTTCTAATGCCCTGGTATCATTTTTGAAAACTTGTTGTCTGGTCCTGTGCAATGTTTTAAAGAGCTGTAAAACCTATTGAGAAAATTGGAATTCAGACCTCAAAAGAAAAAAATTCATATTTAATATAATTATATTATAAGGATTAAACAGTGTTCCTTTTCTGTTTGCTTCTTGGACTACTTTTCAGAATAGCTGGTGAAAACCAAGACTTGCCAAAATAACTTTCCCCTTGATTAATTATCTTTGAATTTAAAAAATTGTAGTTTTGTTTACAAAAATAATATAAAGTTATTTGAAACAAATAACACAATACAAGGATAATGACTGGGCACAGTGGCTCACACCTGTAATCCCAGCACTTTGGGAGGCTGAGGTGGGAGGATTGCTTGAGCCCAAGAGTTCAAGTCCAGTCTAGGCAACACAGCAAGATCACGTCTCTACAAAAAATTAAAAAAAAAAAAATTAGACAGCATGGTGGCACATGATTTTTTTTTTTTTGAATTGGAGTCTCACTCTGTCGCCCAGACTGGAGTGCAGTGGCTGCTCCCGGCCACCGCAGCCTCGACCTGCTGGGCTCTGGCGATCCTTCCACCTCAGCCTTCCAAGTAGCCGGAATTACAGGCCTGCACTACCACGCCCAGCTGATTTTTTTGATTTATTGTAGAGATGAGGTCTTGCTGCCCAGGCGGGTCTCGAATCTGTAGGCTCAGGCAATCCACTCACCTCAGCCTCCCAAAGGCGCGGGATTACAGGCTGAGCCACCGAGCCCGGCTGGCACATGCTTATAGTCCCAGAGTGTGGGAGGCTGAGGCCGAAGGATTGCCTGAGCCCAGGAGTTTTAGGCTGCAGTGAACCATGAACATGCTACTGCACTCCTGTCCAAGTAACAGAGTGAGACTACGACTTGAAAAAAATAAAGAAAACAATATAAGGATGGTTAAAAAGGTAATAATTCTCCTGCTAATAACCAATCGGCAAAAGTAACTGACTTTATCAGTCTGGTATGTATCTATTTCCATTTTTCTTAATCTATTGAAGCTTCCGAATGCTCTTAAAATCATACACACACATACACAAAGTCATGAAATATTGTGGCTTAAGAAAGTCCAGAAGGAAGACATTCCAGATAATTTAGAAAAGTTTAGTTGCTATTTCATAAAATAGTAGAATGCTGAGACTTATGAATGTTCTAAGCATGGGGGAAAAAAAGAAAGAAAGAAAAGAGCCTGGAATTTTGGCAAAAGACAGATCGTAAAGAACCTTTAGCAATAGACCACGTTACCTCACACTTCTCAAGCCCAAAAATGTACTCAATATTGTTCTCTCAATTTTGCTCTTCCTCCTGTCTTCCCAATTTTAGTTACTGGAGGCTAACAATTTTCTCAAGCCAGAAATCTGTAGATCATTCTTTAAATCTATCTTACTCTACACATGGAAACTTTAGGAATGTTTCTCTAATCTTTTTTATGTCCTTCATCCCCAAAAGCATTTAAGTTCAGACCCTTTCCATCTCTTACCTAGATTACTTACAAAGGTTTGTCATTCTGCCACCACTCCCTCCTTCCCTCCAATCTATTCTCCAGATAATATCTACCATTTATTAAGCATGCGGTGTGCTAGGTACCATTTTAAGTGCTTTACATTTATCAGAAAACCTGTAACATCAAAGGCAGATACCAAAACAGAAACAGGAAACAAGGAACAGAAAACTTAAAAATAAAGCAAAACAAAAAACCAAACAACCATAAAAAAACTTCCTCAGAAACATAAGTTATTGCAAACATGGAATAACATCCATAACATATAGTCAATTAAAAAAAAAAAGAACATTCAGAAAACTCCCAAAAGCTCTTGGCTATCAAATGGGTAGAAGCAAGGATTAAATTGAGAAAAACTGTCCAGAATGTAGAATAAAAATTCAGAGACAGAAATTGAGGAACTGTAAGAAAATTAAGGGAATGGTCTAGAAGGTCTAACAGATTAGCAGAAGGGCCAAAAGAGAGAAAAAAGAACAGAAAGAAGAAATTAAATGGGAATTAAGTTAAGATAACTTAATCAAGTAAGATTACTAGATAGAAAGGGCTCCACCAAATGCCCAATAAAAAACTCTTATCACAGCATATCATGATGTAAATTCAGTGCATTGCTGATAAAGAGAAAAATCTCCGAGGAAAAACACTTCACATATAAACAATTAGAAAATAAGAATGGCACCTAACTTCTAAAAAGCATCACTGGTAAGAAGATAATAAAAAAGCATCCTCACGTTTTGAAAAAAAAGTCTAGCTTAGAACACCATACACAAACTATCACCCAAAGACACATGCAAATAGATATTTTAAGAAATACAAGCCGGGCTCGGTGGCTCAGCCTGTAATCCCGCGCCTTTGGGAGGCTGAGGTGAGTGGATTGCCTGAGCCCACGGGTTCGAGACCCCCTGGGCCGCGAGACCTCATCTCTACAATAAATCAAAAAATCAGCCGGGCGTGGTAGCGAATGCCTGTAATTCCGGCTACTCGAAAGGCCGAGGCGGAAGGATCCCCGGAGCCCAGCAGGTCGAGGCTGCGGTGGCCACTGCATTCCAGTCTGGGCGACCGAGTGAGACTCCAACTCAAAAAAAAAAAAGAAAGAAATACAAAGTCTCTTATCTGTCATACACCCTTTACTGAAAAGCTACAGAAGAATATGTTCCACCAAAACAAGGGGATGAACCACAAAAGGAAAAGACGTGAGAACCAGGGAGACAGGTGATCTGACATAGGAGAGGTAGATGGGGAAGGACAAATGCAAGTCAACATTTGTGCAGTCAGACTAGAAAAAAACTAGTCTGGACTACAGCAAAAGGCTGAATTGCTCCATAAAATACAATGCTAGGGAAAAATAAAACTGACAAACTTCAGTTTTGTTCAGAACTTGGGAACAGATATGTAGGAGCCTAAGCAACATAGCAAGACTTCATCTCTACCAAAAAAAAAAAAAAAAAAGCTGGATGTGGTGGCATGTGCCTGTGGTCCTAGCTATTTGAGAGGCTGAGATGGGAGAACTGCCTGAGCCCAGTAATTTTTTTTTTTTTGAGTTGGAGTCTCACTCTGTCGCCCAGACTGGAGTGCAGTGGCGGCTCCCGGTCACCGCAGCCTCGACCTACTGGGCTCCGGGGATCCTTACGCCTCAGCCTTCCGAGTAGCCGGAATTACAGGCATGCACTACCACGCCTGGCTAGTTTTTTGATTTTAGTGTAGAGATGAGGTCTCGCCTGCCCAGGTGGGTCTCGAACCCGCGGGCTCAGGCAATCCACTCACCTCAGCTTCCCAAAGGCGTGGTATTACAGGCTGAGCCACCGAGCCTGGCTGAGCCCAGTAATTTTATTACTAGTTAATTTTCCTCAAGCAGGAGATTGAGGCTGCAGTGAGATGATCCTGCCACTAACACTGTCTGGGAGACAGAGACTATGACTAAAAAACCAAAACAAAACAAAAGGCAATTATTAATTTCAAGAAAAACTAAGAATTAGAAAAAAAGGTAACATAATCATATACTTACTATATTAGAGTGCTCAGTTGTGGACAATTTTTATATGGTAATAAAATCAAAGACAAATACTGATTCACTAACATTTATGTATTGAGCAGACAGGGGTAGAGAGGATCTTAGTCCTCATCTTCCATAGTTAAAACTCAATAAATACATAGTATCTCCAAAGAAAAAAAGTCAATAAATAGGAGTTTAAACATGTTATTTAGAAACTCAGAGGTACATTCCAAAAGAAATAGCTAAAATGATGAAAAGCACTTACTTCTGGGAAGCAGGAATTGGGAGTAGATAGAAAGAAGTAGGCATCTACTGGATTTCTGTGTAACATTATTTGACTTCTCAAACTTTACACATTCATTATATTTATCAAAATTTATTTTTGTTTGTTTTTTTTGAGTTGGAGTCTCACTCTGTCGCCCATACTGGAGTGCAGTGGCCGCTCCCGGCCACCGCAGCCTCTACTGCTGGGCTCCGGCAATCCTTCAGCCTCAGCCTTCCAAGTAGCCGGAACTACAGGCGTGTGCTACCACGTCCGGTTGAGTTTTTGATTTATTGTAGAGATGAGGTCTCGCGGCCCAGGTGGGTCTCGAACCCGTGGGCTCAGGCAATCCACTCACCTCAGCCTCCCAAAGGCGCGGTATTACAGGCTGAGCCACCAAGCCTGGCTCAAAATTTATTTTTATAAATAATAACTTATCTGATAAATGACAGCCAAACATTTATCTGATAAACGGTTGCTGGTTATTTATCTGATAAGGGCCTAGTATCTAGAATATATGAAGAACACTTACAACTCAACAACAATAAATCCTTAAAAACCATAATTTAAAAATAGGTAAAGGATTTGAATAATTGGTTTCTCCAAAACAAAACATACAAATGGCCAATAATCCATGAAAAGATGTCAAATGTGCCATCATAAAATGCAAATTTAAACTTCAATGAGATACTACTTCATCCCAATAGGATGGCTATAGTAAAAAAGATAGTCAATAACAAGAGTTGGCAAGGATGTGGAAAAATTGGAATACTCATACATTGTTGATGGGAGTGTAAAATGGTACAGCTGCTTTGGAAAACAGTTTGGCAGTTGCTCAAAAAGTTAAACATACAGTCATCTTATAAACCAGAAATTTTATTACTTAGGTAGATACTCAAGACAAATGAAAACATGTGCTCACAACTGTACACACTAATGTTCATAGCAGTTATTTATAATAGCAAAAAAGTGGAAACAACTCATGAATGGATAATAAAATGAGAAATATCTATTCTGTTCAGGCTTGAATTGTATCTCTCCAGAAGACATGTTGTGAAACCTAGCTACCTATAAATATGACTTTATTTGGAAATAGGGTCTTTACAGTCATAATCAACGCAAGATGAGGTCATTAAGGCAGGCTGAATCTGACTGAAATACTTATAGAAGGAAAACAGAATGTGAAGACAGAAACATACAGGATAAAGACTGCCATGTGATGACAGAGGCAGTGACTGGAGTGATATGAACGCAAGACAAGGAGCAGCATGGTTTAGTCAAC